TTGTACTTGAGAAAGCTACTGCCCTGTCTTTTGAACGGTTACTCGTCGGAAGCTCGTCTCCTACATACGCAGGCGCGAACACTCACACATCCTGTCGATCTATAGCGCATTGGTATAGCGGGTGTGCATACGTGGCATCTGGCTACTGTCCGTTAGAAGGACCTTAAGATCTCTAAGATATCCTCTTACTCCTGTATCTAGTCGGGGCAGCAGAGCAAATCCTGGGGGGAGGGCGGGGCCGAGGCAAATAGTCGCGGCCAGGTCTCTAGCGGCTGGTCCACTTCCAGGCCTCACCCCTGCTCTCTGGACCCTGAGCTGGACAGAGGATGCCGCCAGGACCCACGCAGCTGGTCCACTCCCAGGCCTCACCCCTGCTCTCTGGACCCTGAGCTGGACAGAGGACTCCTCGTCCCACCATCTCAAACGCTAGACTTGCCCGGGGAAGAGCTGCGTGGCTCACATTCCCAGGACTTCCCAGGACAGTGGGGCGCCTCTGGTTGGTCCCCTTCTCTAGCCAACTCCCCCCGCCCCATCCTCATCAGCATCCCCACCCCTAACTGCTCTGCAGGGCAACCTGCGCTGGCCGGTCAGGAGCATGCGGGCTCCGTCCCTGAGTCACAGACCCCCTTGTGAACATTGCGCGAGGAAGGGGACCGGCGTTCTCAGAGCTGAATTCCTCTCGTACAGCTTCAGGCTGGTCGTTATAAAGGAGGGTGCTGACCTGGTGGAGCTTGAGGGCCATCCTGATGGCCGGGGCCACCACCTTCTGCAGCAGGTCCATGTCGGCGAACACCCACTCGTCCCGGGCGGCGACCCTGAAGTCGCCCTTGAAGAGGGCGTGGAGGCCGTGCAGGAAGGAGTCCAGGCTGCAAGACAGGGTTTCTCAGGGAGTGTCCGTCGGAGCTGCGTCACGGTCAAGTCAGGATGTGTCCCAGCAAGCGAAGCAGAGCTGTGCCTACGCTGGGCTGTAGTGCAAGGCTGACCTGGGAGTCAGTGTTCCAAGTGACCTGGTATTTTTTCCAAAGATTTTCTCATGGGTTTTGAGAGAGAGAGAGGAAGGGAGAGGGAGAGAGTGAGAGAAACCTTGATGTGAGAGTGAAACCCATCGCCTGCCTCCTGCACGCCCCACACGGGGGATAGAGCCTGCAACCCGGGCACGTGCCCTGACCAGGAAACGAACCAGCCACCCTTCAGTGCAAGGACGACGCTCAACCACCTGAGCCGCACCGGCCAGGGCCATCACCTGTCGTTCTGTAACATTAAATATGTGAGAATCACTTGTTAGGTCGCATGGGTACACCTAAGGGCACACTTCTGATTTTAAAATTACACAGGATGGAACACACACACACACACCATGAGCCGCTCACGCTTTCAACATAACTATAAACATTAGCAAACTGAATCCATCGTTACAGAAAAAATAATGTATCATGACCACGTACAGCTTATCTCAGAATGGTAAGGATGTGGAAAACAATTAAACGTTTCACTCATAGATTTAAGGAGAAGAATATCACTGGAATGTGTGCCCCAGATTTTGAAAGACTTCACATTCTTTCCCGATAATATCATGAGAATAGCTCCTAAAGATCAGTATCTAACAAAAATGGGGAGAGCATAGAAGTGGGCAGGCAATTCACGGGGGCAAAAAATGTGATTGACCAATAAACATGTAGGCAGAGTCTTAAACCCTCCCTGGCAATAATGGAAATACAAACGAAGGAAGAGGGAGATACAGGATCTTACCCATGAGACTAGGAAAACTAAAAGGATGAACTGTCCAGCGTTAGTGCGGCTGCGACACAGCACCCTTGGAGAGCGTCCAACCTGGGGCAGCCTTTTGGGGACCACTTTCGCTGGGTCTCTTAAAATGATGCTTAGAAATCGTTTGAGCGCCAGAATCAATCCTTTGCAAGCGCCCCCATGTATTGAACTCTAGCATATGAAATGCAGGGCACAGCTGTTGGGTAGAAGCAGAGGTGGGGCTCCAGCCTCCCTCACACGGTGGGCCTCCCGCCCCCACGATCTACCCAAGAAATCAGAACCTCGTGGATCCGAACACTGGCCTGGGGCAACGTGCACAATCAGTTACCTCCTGCAAGTCATTGCTGCACTGAGAATGCGGGGCAGGGCTCACAGGGGTGGGCCCCCCGGAAAGCGAGCCTCCCCCCAAACCACTGCATCGCTCCCAGACTGATCTCATCGCCGCCTTTGGAACGCTGAGGGGCTGTCACAGAGGATTAGGAGCTGTTTGAAACCCAGGAAATCCCATCAAAACCAAGCTCGGAAAGCAGCTGGAACGCATGGTGCTTAATCAGGGAAAATAAATAAAGCCGGGCAGGCGAGGAACACCTGGTCAGGGACCTCGGCGGAAGCTACGCCAAGAGCCGGCCCGAGGAAGCCTTGGGAAAGCGCTCCGCTCAGCCCGCCAGAGCGAACCTCTGCGGCCTTTGGTTTGCAAATTGTACAGGAAATTGAAATTCCTAGAAACCTGCGAATCGAGCGACGTGCAGATCACGGCCGGGGTGCTGTGACTCGAGCCGTGAGCCCTGTGCACGGAAGGTCAAGGGCTCCCCTGTGAGTCAGAGATCAGACCTGGGTGACAGGGTGAGAGGCTGGGAGGGTCAGGGGAGCTTCGTTTTGCTTTTGTTCTTTAAGAAGAGAAACGGGCTGTTTTCACGCAGAGAGAGCAGGGCCCGTGGAAAGAGTTTGAACAAGTAGCAGGGGCCTCCATTCGGCAAGGCCGCCAGCCAGGCAGAGCAGGGTGCAGATGGGAGCAGGGACGTGAGAGACGGCAGGAGGAAAGGGACGTTTACTGAGTAGGGACCTTGCCGGGCTTTCATGTGCACGATCCCCTCGCATCTGCCCAGCAAACCTGCACGGACCCTGCAATACAGACACCCAGGGTTCTGGGGTCTGGACTGTTCCCCGTTAACGCCAGGTTCAAGTCTAATGCTCGAAGGGGTCACTGATCGGTTTGCTGCAGGCCCTACAGCAGCCGTGGGCAAACTACGGCCCGTGGGCAAACTACGGCCCGTGGGCCGGATCCGGCCCATTTGAAATGAATAAAACAAAAAAAAAAAACAAAACCGTACCCTTTTATGTAATGATGTTTACTTTGAATTTATATTAGTTCACACAAACACTCCATCCATGCTTTTGTTCCG